TAAGCCTCACTTTGGTCCCAGTCTTCAGGATCCTCACCTAGAAATTCATCGTTCAGTTCTAGCCACTCGAAAAAGTGATTAGAATCTGTGTTAATAAAATCACTTATCTCTTTTTTCTGCAGATCTTTAAGATCAGATAACTTTAACCTCTTAATACCTTCGTTCGAAGAGTTTTCTTTTGCAAGTGCTTCAACCATTTTTCTTTTTTCATCAGTTGATACTTCGTCATCAAAAAAACTAAGAGCAGCATTTTCCGGAGTTAAATACCACAAGTGATTTTTAATTTTATCAAGAACAGCATCAGATATATCCGAATCTATTTTTTCGTATTCAATCACCTTTTTCGCAAATTCCAAGTCACAGTTCGGGGCTTTGTGTGCCAAAGGTGCCGTAAACCATGCTTTTAAGTAAAGCTTTACGATAAAAATACACACATCTCTTAACTTTTCTTCTACTTCTGAAACAAAATCGAGCTGTCCCCTGAAAAGATACATTTTAAGGGTATAGATAGCTTTCGCCATCCAGCGAGTGTGATTGAAAGCACCAGGTGCTCTGAACTTGGCACCTTTTGTTTCACCTAAAATAATTTTTGAAAGTTTTAAAAATTCCTCGTAATCATCTCGTGGCTGTTTCGTGGACGTTAAGACTAGTTCTATGAAATTAAGTATCTCAGCTCGATCACTCTTAAAAAACACTAAATCCTCATCAGTAAAACTTTCAAATTTATCCTGATCAATACTTGGCCATGCATTTTTAAATTTAGAAAACAAGCTAACGTTTGGACCTGGAGAATGAGGTATTTTGCACTCAAAACAAGCTTTTAAGTACAGCTCGTAAATATGGTGCCGGCAAAGAAGATACAGTAAAGCCCTACCGAGAAATTGCTCCAAAATAACACAAGCACCATTGATGTGTCCTGTGTTGGAACTTGTGGTGTCACAACATAGTGCCTTAACAATCTCACTTTGATCCCATTCAATTAATTCAGAGTAAACAGCCTTTCCTTGCTCCAGCCCAGTTGAATCATGCAGTACAGGCACTGCCAACAGTTTTTCTACATCCCCGCTGGTTAAGAACACTGCAAGTCGATCATGTTTTCCAGACCCTTTATCATTAGGAAAAAGTTTCCCGTCCCAATGAACAACAGCTGCACTCAGAGTCATATCCTTAAAATACAGTTTTACTTTCTCGGCTTTTTCAAGACGCAAATTCTGCCTGGCTCGGCGGATAGAAGAGCGACTTGAAATAATCGAGGCTGGATCAAAGCCTAACGCTTCGACTACTGCTGATATCAGGTGAACGGCATCCCTGTCACTCACTTTACATTTGTCAAGAACCGTAACAACTTTGGAGCTCATGACGTTAATTGAACCCTGTGGTTTGGTTCTTTCCGGCGGCGGCGGCGGCGGCGCTGACTGTGAATGTGATGGTCCAGGTTCGCATTCGAGTGGTTCATCAACTGAAAGTTCTACTGAAGAATCTGTATCAACTTCCGGTTCTGAGCTATCCGACACATCCCGATAATCAGTAGCTCCACCTGAAAGTTGATAGTTTCAATCTTCACTAGGAGAACTTTAGGGAAAAAATAACAATAATTGTTCTTCAGTTCTACAGCATATTTCTGCCTTCTTCTCCCCCAGTAATGTAAAAAAAAAAAAATTGCAAAAGAAAAGGGATGTAAGTCCACGAAAGATGTAGAAAGTACAACTGTTTTTTGACATAAGTCAAAGGAAAAAGTCTAATTCGACCGAAAATTCTACCAACTGTATCCTCTATCCCGGTTTAAATCAGAAATAAGCCTTAGTTGAGGAGAAAAAATATACGCTTGTCAAATTGACAAATTGATAAGCATTTCCTAAGTTAACTAAGTTATTTAAAATTAGTAAAAAATTGAGAAAAAAGCTTACAATTTTTTTCCAGTTCCTTGGCAAGTTTCTCTGCTCGTTCTCGTTCCCTCTGCTGCCTCTCTGCTTTCCGTTTTTCCTGTTTTTCTAGCTTGGTGTCGATGCCATACATACATCCAACTCGTCCTTTCTTTCGTTGATTGATTAGAAAATCTCTGTCTTCTTTAATACGTATCATGTTCAAAGCATCAGCATGCGCAATATCGAATAGGTCATCCAAGTTGCTGATAAAGTCATTTTCACGTTGCACGTTAATAACACTGCGCCTATGTGAGTTCCTCTGCACATCTCTCCAGTCTTTGTAAAGATCTTCCACTTTTTTAATACAACGATCATCGTGTTGCACGGGAATTCTAGCTTTGCTCCAGAAAACTTTCACCTCTTGGATAACAAGATGCGAACTATTACGTAGATCCAAGCCCACTTCCCGCAGGTTAAAAAATAAAACTCTTAACACTTGTCCTTTTGAGGGGAGTTTACTCCCTCCAATGCCCGGACAGGAATTGCCGATCAAATAAACGCTCCGATCTTTACGTAAGGATGGTTTTGAAAGCGACATGGTTACACGAAATTTTTACGGAAGAAAAAATCGAAACCAAAAGCACGTGTACGCCCGATTGAGCAGGCATGGTCTGACTGAATCCCTAGCAGCCTGTGCCTTACGAGGCATAGGATATTTTGCAAAGTTCAGCACTTTTACGAGCAAACCAACGTTGATAAGTGCACACCAAGAGTGCAGTCAATTTTCTATACAAGCCTTTCAAAAATTTACTTTTGTCTGCAATATGACAACGCGTAACAGCGAGCCTCAGAAATTCCTGTCTTATCAGCTAGGCGCGAATATGAGCTGGGAGTCCTGGGAGTTCCTGGACTCACAGGCTGTGGATGCTGATTCGTCATACCTTGCCATATTGTGCTGTTAATGATGCAATAATTTGCTTCTAATTAGAAAAAAGCAAACTTCTCATGAAAAATAAGCAAAATTTTGAAGGAAAAAACTGCCAAAACAAACCGAGAACGAAAATGGGGTAATTTATCTATTTTCGCGCGATTTTTCATACAAAGCGGAACCCCTCCCCTCCACTTACATTAACATTAAACTCGCATACATTTTAGTACGGATTATTTTGAAGTCATGTTGACCATATTTAGAGGGTGCCACTGTTAATTTACCGACGTTGCCAATTTATACATTTTTTTCATTTTTCCCTATTTTCGGCGAATTTTCGAAAATTCAGCCTCAATGCGGCACCACTTAAAATTATCGGAGAGGAAAAAAATTTGGCACACATCATTTTTTAATCCTAAGGAACAAATTTATGGGGCGGCGTGGTTCAGATTCGAAGAAAAAACATCACCCATGTTAAAGTGGACCACCCTAGCCAAGGCGCGTGCCAAGGTTGTCTAGTCTACGAAACTAGAAAAAAAGTCACAGTTCATAACTTGTATAACTGGAAATTTTTGCTCTTAACTGGGAATCGAATGATCTAGTGAAGTTCCCACTTAAGATCACTCTGTTCTGCCAACAACTATGAAGGACTCGTAAGGCAAGTTCAAGAGCTTTTTTCAGTTCATTTTTTTTTTATTTTTTTTTTATTTAGTATATTACAATTAGGTATGCACAATAAATTATACAGACCGAGAAGATGGTCTTTTACAATTTCGCTTAACAGTTTAGAAGTAACATTTCAGAAGGCACTTTAATGAATAAGACAGAGTATATGATAAAATAGAATAGAATAAAAATAAAAATAAGAATAAAGATAGCAATAAAATAAATAATAGAGGTAAGTATAGAAGAATTAAAAGTAATAGAGCAGTAAATAACAATGGAAACAAAAATTGATTAGGTGAAAGTAGAAGCTATGGTAAATTAAAGGACGAAGAGATGTGAAATCTTGAGTGAAAAGAATAAGAAATTACAAAATAAGAGAAATTAGGATAGAGGAGGTGGCCAAAAGTGCTAAATGCCTAACTATTTGTACAATTACTAAGAATCTAAGAAATTATTATCTAAAATCCCACCAAGTATCTAAGTTGATCAGTTAATGTATGTCCCTAGTAGCAGAGCTAAATTGACAGAATATAAATGAAGTATAACCGTTATATAAAGAGCGTATTTTTATAAAGAATGTATAATCAAAGTATAACAGTTATATAAAATATATATAAAGAGTGCATTTATACAGGGTGTCCCAAAAGTCCCTTCCACCCCCTCTAAAATTTTACCCAATTAATATTTTGAAACGAAACTTTGGGGATGTCCGGGGGGGGGGGGGNNNNGGGGGGGGGGGGGGGGGGGGGGGGTCAATGTTAGTTACTATTATACGCATGTACTTGCTTAGGCCTGATTAATGCAGCGCCATTGAAAAAGTGCCTACTTCCTTGTCTATTAAATTCTTTTTTGATCATGATCGCAAACATTTCTAGAAAATTATCGTACGAGGTAAAAGTCATATCAAATACCAAATGAATTACAGGAAATGCAGCAAAGTTTTGATTTTTTATCTTCTATCCGAAAATTTTTTGGTTAGATTTATGACTTCTTCTGGAGTAAATCCATAATGGGGGGTAGGGGGATTTCTTTCGTTTAATATACTTTTTGAGCGTGAGAAATTCATCTTTCTCAATTTTTTCTTTCATTACAAAGCGAATATTTTTATCAATATTTGCATCAAGATAGGAGCCCATTTGCTCAAACTCGAATAAAGAATCAAAATAATGATTGAAGGGGTTCCAGTATGAGATAAGTCTTCCTGAATCCAAAAAACTAATCACCGACTCCATGCAAAACATTGATGAGCCTTTATCTATTTTGAAGCCATCGTAATAATCTGTCATTAAGTCAATCTTATCTTCAACCGAAAATTTTTTGGTAAGATGTATGACTTCTTTCCGTGTAAATCCATAATAAGGGGCACGTTGTGGATCATCAAATATTCGGTAAAATTTTAAATTATTGACTTTTGTTCTTTACTCAATGCACTCAAAGCGAGGGGGGGGGGGGCGTTCACCCTGGGCCCCCTTGGAGGCAGAGGCTAGGGGGTGGTGCGTTTGTCCTGGAACCGCGTGTGGCTGAGGGCCGTTTAGGTTAGGTTAGGTTAGGTTAGGGCTTTTGTTTTCCGTTCGCAAATCTCCTTCAGCAGAGCTAGGTCCGGATCCTGGGGATCGAGGTGGAACAGCGTCCGCCATTCCGCGTCGACCCACCAGTTGAACGGCTTCTGCTGGACGATTTTTGCGAACGGGTAAATTTCCAGTCGTACGGTGGTATGCCCAATTTCGCCCTTCGACTGAAACTTTAGCTGCCCTCCGTCCACCGCTGCATAAGTATACTGCGAGATAACTCCACCATGCTTCGCTGTATTCACATTCTTTGCGATTTCTGCGAGCCACCCACCTCCCGAACCGCCCGCGCAAGTGCTTTGTGATGTAGCACCTGCACGTGCTGTTTGAGAAGCGGCAGGCATGGACAAAGTGGAGGTGGCAGCCGTGGACGGATACGATAAAAGTCCCTGTGGAGAGCCGAGCCAGCTGTTTTGAAATGACTGCCGGATCTCGGTGGGCAGCTCCAAGTCGAAAAATGTAGTGTATGACGTATCTTCGACCATGAGCTCCACCATATCCGGTACGCCACAGGTCAACAACTTCTTTCCCTGACCTACCAAAGCTTTCATACAACGTTTCAACATACCTGACCCCAGAATTCCCCAGTTCTGCGCATCCGTAGCCAGGTTCATCAGTTCCTTCGTCATCTGATCCAAGGTCCGAGGGAGAGGCGCCAAACCGCATCCACTGAAGTACACCAGATTCGTCACCATCAACAGCCATTCGCTCGTCTTCGCCTTGTTGCGTAACATTTCTTTCCTCTTGTCCGCTTTGAAATCCTCTTCTTCTTCCATCAGTATTTGTGTGTTGGGAATCCCCGTCCAGTCCTGATCCTGCTGCTCCCTCGGCTCCGGAGAAGGGGTCGGAGAGATGTCCAGCACTATTCTCTCCTCCTCTGCTTCCTTCTCCGGACGAGGACTCGTGCATCTCCTCTTCGCACAAGAGGAGCTCTTCGATTGAGTCGAATGAGTCGTTTGATTCGGAGCACGACTCGGCGAGGAGCTCCTCTTTGCACCGCCGCTCGACTTCTTCCCATGCTGCTTGGAGAAATGTTCCCGTATGGTCACAGCTTTCTTCTGCGTCCCGGAAGTCGAGGGCCTCTCCAACTCCGGCTGGTCGAACACGTTCTCGTAACTCGCCATCGCACCTTTCTAACTCCAGTCCTGTCGAGTTGTTTGGGCCCGTGAGTCGAGCTTTTGGTTTTGTTTTCAAGGCGCCGCGGGAGTTGCGACATGCTTTCCCTCTGACAGTCCTAGTCCTGCATCTTCGAGCGGTGTTGGTAGCGTTCAGGCAGGTGGCCGCTAGCAGTTTGGGTGACATTTTTGTCCGTCGGCGTGAGACGGGGTGAGCGGAATTTTCTGGAGGTCCTGAGGTCGGTTTGATTTTTGGCTTGTTCGGAAAATAAAGGCTTGAGAAGTGATGTAGTAGATTTACTCAAAAAATAAAGATTTTTCGCGATCTTTCCGACCTCAGTCTGCGATTTTTTGCTATGTAATCGCAAGTAGCAAGAATAAAAAAAGGTGGGCTTAATATAGATGATTTTTCCCCATAAAAAAATGCTATTTCCTCCTGTAGATCTCCGCCCATTGCTATCGTGGAGATTGGTCTGGTAGGTATCCCAGAGTTGTTACTCATTGTTGTTATGAGACAAGGATTCAGGTTTCTACCTCCATATTCGCGTCGTCGGATTTCTATGCGTTGTAAGCGCTGCATAGAACGTTGGGCGATTCGGCGGAGTTGCCACTTATGGCTGAAAAACCTGGGCTCCACCTCTTCGTGTCGGTCAGATTTCCACATGGAGTTAGTGCCGCGGAGATTGATTTGGTGTGTCAGCGGGGCTACTAATTGTGGTGGGAAAATCTGACGTTTACAATTGAATCGAGGTATGCGAAAACGTCCGATGTCCATTTTTTTGGATTTTGAGTTTTTTGGCTTAACGTCATCTTCCAGGGTAGGCGCATCTATGTGTAGACGGATTTGACCTGTTTTTTGTTTTTTCGCCCCCATTTAGGGGTTCGAACCTCAAAAGTATGCGAAAACGTCCGATGTCCATTTACGAGGGTCATCCAATGAGGTTCCCTACCTCTTATCTTCCAAACGGAAAGAGATAAATCAAATCGGTAAAAAAGTTCTTATAAGGCATACTCTAAGCTTTAAAAGAAGCTCAAGTTTTTGAAAATTGGTCGAGGGGTTCGCGAGGAAACTTAATTTTACTGCGACAACTTCCTGTCACCGCGCGCCCACCTTCGGAGTCTGGATGCGCGGAGGATCGATTATTTCAGACTTGGGTTTTCGCCGCTAAGCATCATATCAAAAAGAAATTTGAAGGATTTTATTGAGTAGACCTTACCTTACTTTTTGACGAAGTCCCTGCCTCTGTTTTGACATTTCTGGTTTTTTTTTTTTTATTAGTACTTTACATAGTGGTACATAAAAACACTTTAGATATATAAAATATCTTTAAAAGCTAAACTTAACTGTTAACTGAAGATTAACTTAATATTTAAAATTTAAACACATTATAACTGTACAGACTAAACACTTTTATCTGCACAAGATGATACTACCTCTAATAAAATGAGGAGAGTAATAAAGACATGATTATTTCTGTAATAAAAATGTCTTTTTTCTTTAGCTTGAAAAAGCGGACAACCGTTACCAGTCAAAGTCCTAGTCCTCCTGATTGTGTCCTAAGAGCACAGGGAGGCAAATAGTTTAAACGATAGAGAATTTTGTGAACCCCTGGATTCCAAGCTCATGGGGTTTTCGTCGTTTGAGTCTCCGAATACATTGGTCCCTTTCCAAGAGCGCGAGCGCTTCTGGATTGGGATGCCTATGCAGACGAGCTTCATAAGAGTTGTACAATTTAGTTATGTACTCCTCTACTGAATCAATATTGAGGTCAGCGCGAATATCAGCGTTCCTTTCATACCAATGAGCTTTAACAATGCTTCTAAGAATTTTCATTTGCATGATTTCTATCTTTTCTAAGTTTGATTTGGCTGCACAACCCCACAATTGGCAGCCATAACTCCAAACTGGCCTCAACATTGATTTGTAGAGGAGCAATTTGATGTGCAAGGATAGCTTAGATTTACGGCCTAATAGCCATTGCATATCATTAAATTTAAGTTTCAATTGTGCAACTTTTTTCTTTATGTGTGACCCCCACTTGAGCCTGGAATCCAGGTGAAGGCCAAGATAACGCGCGACGGTGTCGCGTGGAATTTCATTTTCTCCTAGGAGAAGAGGAATATGAGTGAAGGGTCTGTTAGTAAAGACCACCTCTACCGATTTCGAAGCATTCAATTTCGTCTTGTCTTTGTTTGTCCAGCGATGGATTTTATTAAGGTGACATTGAGCATTATGTCTTGCCTCCCTGTAGCTCTTGGACGCTGCTAACACGAGCGTGTCATCGGCGTATACTCCCAATTTCCCCCCTCTCCCAGACTGTGGGATGTCTGTGGTGAAAAGGGAATAGAGAAGGGGGGGAAAGGCAGGAACCCTGTGGAACTCCTGCCCTTATAGGTCTGAAACCCGAGGTAGTATTTTCATACCTAACCCGGAATTGTCTACCCTTGAGAAAGGATGACAAGAGCTCCACATGGTTACATGGGAGCATTTTATAAAGCTTTTCGATGAGACGTTCGTGCCAGACGCGATCAAACGCCTGCGCTACGTCTAGAAAGACTGCCACGCAGTATTCTCCCCTCTCAAGAGAATCCTCTATAAATTTAGTGATACGATGAAGTTGATCCACCGTAGAGTGTTTTGAACGAAAACCAAATTGAGCGTCTATAATCAAATTTTGTTTAGAAACAATTTCATTTAGTCTTTTGATATAGAGCCTTTCAAATAATTTGCCTATTACTGGCAGCAAAGAGATAGGTCTATAAGATGAGGCTTCAGTGGGGGGCTTATCTGGCTTTAAAAGCACGAAAATTTCAGCCATTTTCCACTGTGATGGTATATATTTGAGACGGATTACTGCATTAAACAAAACTGTTAGTTTCATAATTGCTTTTTTTGGCAAGTTTTTAAGTATGAGACCAGAGATCTTGTCAAAGCCTGGTGCTTTTTTTGCTTTGATTTTCCCTTTGATTTCCTTTAGGACTTCCGAGGGGGAGATAGATTTTATTTTTACCGGTGGAATCTTTCTGACCCTGCGGGGTTTTAATGCGGATATTTCCCCCTGTTCCGATTCCGAGTCAGAATTACTGGTGGGAGCATCAGAGTCCGTTTGAACCTCCAGATCATCATGAGGCTGAAAAGCTGCCTCAAAATGATCCGCAAGAACCTCCGCCTTTTCAGCATCTGAGTTTGCCCAAGTTTTATCAGGCTTACTGATCGGGAATTTTAATTGTTTTGGTTTTTTAAGGTATTTAGTGGCTGCCCATAAAGAGTAATTCTTATCAGCAGTTGGGGAAAGAGAGTTTATGAATTTTTCAAATTTAAAATTTAGATATTCTTGCATTCTTTTTTTAACTATGGTGTTTAATCTATTGTAGTTGGAGTTGTCTTCAGGGAAATGGGAGTTTGTTGCAGTCCTTTTTGCTTTTCGTTTAAGACGAATAAGTTTAAGGAGATTTTTTGGTATTGCATAGGGTTTAATGTTGGTCGAGGCAACTGGTGTGTTAGCAGTGGCACACACTCTGATACTCTCCACCAATAATTCCGTCTCCCTGTCGATATCTGCTGGAGAGAGGACTGGAACACTATTATCTATAATTTTTTCAAGGTCTTGTCTGAATTTATCCCAATTTGTTCTTTTTGAACATATTGCTGGTGGACGATTTTCAATAATAGGGTTAGTAAAGATTTCTAAAAAGACTTTGGCATGACCTTTTTCGTTTGACATAAGTGTGTCACATGAGGTTTGATCGATTAAATTGATATCTTTAAAAATGAAAAAGTCTATTAAATCAGGTCGGTGATCAGGTATCGATGGGAAGTTTGTTGGTTTTCCCGGTGAGATGAAGTTTCCACCTGAAAAATTGACGGCTTCTAGCAGAGATTCACCTTTAGGATTAACTATCCTCGATCCCCATCTAGGATTCTTAGCATTCCAATCCCCGCCCACCAGATACTTAGGACCCAGTTCATCCAGGAATCCTATATAATCGTCTTTTGTAAGAACACTGCGAGGAGGGGTATAGAGTGAAGCAATATTGAATGTATCAATCTCTGATTGAACATTTATCACGACAGTTTGAAAGGTGTCGGTTTCGATGATTTTAATCAGATTATGCTTTATTGTTTCTTTAATTAGAATGGAAGAACCACCTCTATGTTTATTCGATGGATGAAGTGAGTTATACATTTTATAACCCGAAAAATACCTTTTAAAATCTGTCCTGGTGAACCAGGTCTCCGACAGAAGGGCTATATCCACATTAAAATCCCTTAGCGTGACATTGAATTCCTCGGCCTTCACCCTGGTGAGACCGCCGCAATTCCAAGCCAATAAAGTTAATGTCTTTTGATTGTTTCTAGCTCGGAGCAGAGATAAGTCATCGAAGTTAATGACCGTCTCCTCCGTTTCCTGTGAAAGCAAATTAAAAGATGAGTCACTGGTATTACACATTAATTCTTAGATTCTAACTTACTCACTTTTTCTGTGAGTATCCTAAGTTGTGAGTTTAAGGATTCGATTGTTTGTAGTAACACCTTAATAAGAATCGCTGATTCATCCTGTGTTGTCGGATTGAAATTGGATGCTGCGGCTTGAGCAAAAGTTTTGTTCAACTTTTTAGGTGGAACAGAATTTCCAGCATTTTTATTTTTATTTTTACCCAAATTTGGGAAAGTATTAGGATCTGGGGGGCTATTTTTAGCATTTTTAGCTTTGAGTTGTTTTTTACGAGCGATTTGGAAATCTTTGGCAAATGGGCAGCCGCGATAACTTGCCGGATGTCCAACTGTGCCACAGTTTATACATTTTGGATTAGTAATC